AACACATTCTGGAACACTGCCTTTCCGACGTGTGCATCAAGAGCAGACAGTGGATCGTCGAATATTTGGATGTCGGTATCGCAATAGATCGCGCGACATATGTTGATGCGTTGCTTTTGGCCGCCAGAGAGTGAGATACCCTGTGCAAAGTATCAGTTAGTAGTCCTGCAGGATGAAGAACAGACATTGCCTTCTCGCCAACTTCTGTAAGGTCGTAATTGGGCAACATCTCCAAGTCAGGCTCTAAGCATGCATCTCGGACGGCCTTCCAGTAACGCTCCTCTTCAAATGGACGACCGAAACAGATGTTTTCTCGAATGGTTGTATTCTGTTTGTCTCTTAGTCACCAATGCCAAAAGAATAATCAGCGAACCTACCTGGATCCAAGCGACTTGGGCACAATAACCAACGGAGCCACCAAAATCAACGTTACCAGAAGTGCGCCGCATTTCGCCAATAAGACCTTGAAGAAGGGAGGTTTTTCCCGCGCCGACGGCTCCAACGATGGCAACGAGTTGGCCCCGAGGAATTTCCAAGTCAACACCCGTAATTTTGAAGACATTTCCATCATCTGCAGGAGCTGGTAAAGGCGTTGAAGGGAGCTTTCGCTTGCCCGTCTTCATGCCCATCTTGCTGCCCTTACCCTTCTTTTTTGGATCCTGAGGCCGAGGGGGCGGACTGTCCCAAGTAAAGCTGGCACCTTCAGCTCTAACGGCGGCGTTCATGTCGCCATTTATGACGAGTGTCTCGTCAAGCGTTTCTGCTTCAAAAACAGCCAGCAGTCTGCCGCATGCTGTGGCTGCGTCAGCAATGCTGCTCAGAGACAAGGCTGGAAAGGCATGTGAGATTACAGGATGCAAATGACAATAGATGACGCACGTAAAAACATTAAAGGCAGGCGGGCCAAGTTGAACAGGGTCAACGAGGTGAATATATTCGCTGCTGTGAGACTGTGTCCGGTCAACGAATATGTGACAAAGGCAATGACAGAAGCGATAGTCGGGACAGAGATGGCAACAGCGTTCATCGCGGCTCTCATGATCAGGAGGGTGCGGATATATCTGAATGGTAAATAAATATGAACCAAGACACGGGCAGTAGGTGGAAATTTCACGCACGTCATCTCGTTCCGTCGATAGTCAGAAATACGCTTCAGGAATGGAACTTCCCAGGAAAAGAACTTGATGACACGCATGCCGCTGAGGACCTCTTGTAAGATCTTGGAACGCTTGTCTGTCCACACCATGCTTTTCATGCGAAGGGAAAAGAGGCGTTTTATAACATAGGTCTGGACGGGCGTCGCAACAATGAGAAGGGCAAAACCGGCGAGTGCACTCGGGCCGAGATTGATCAATAGCAAGACCAGGCAAAGAGTGAGCTGAATCAAAGCCGTCCATGACATGTGGAAGTAGCCCAGGCAGAAATCTATCCGCGAGACATCAGTAGATATGTGGTTGACCAATTCGCCATTGCTCAAGTTGATGCGAGCTCTCGCGCTTAGTCGAAGTGATCTCGAGTATATTGCCGTGATAAGACCGCCACGAAGAATGACACCACTGGACATGCTACGGTAGAAGAAGTGATTGGTGCACCATGACGCGATGAGTTGTAGAGCCAATAAGCAAAACGCAAGGCCAATTCCCTCGCCAATTGGAGGCGTTGGTTGACCGGTCAGATGATTCGTGTAAGACACTGTGGCAAAATCAATGATTGCCTACAGACGTTGGCATGAGTGATCAGGGAAGAAATGTTGTGGAAAAGTTCTGACCTTGACGACAAGGGGACTAGTAATTTGTGCTGTGTCGCCGATGACTTTCAAAACACCAGCAGACCAAAACCACCAAAAGATGCTGTCATTCATTGCCAGAATAAGACTTGCTTTGCGCTTTCCGTCCTTTTCCCTCCATTGCTTCTCGCGTTCTGCACGAACGCCCTGTATGGACCACCATAAACCCTTCAACCCTGGGCCAACTTCACCTTTAGCCAAACGCTCGTTGTATTCTGCAGCCTTCTTTTTCCGAGTCTTGAACGATGTTAAAATGGCATCGGCAATCGGCAAGGCGCCGCGTTCTTCCTGGAGCCGGTAAAGGTCGGATGACTCGAGTGGACGAGCATAGCCAAGGGAAAGCAGGGGTGTTATCCAGGTGAACCATAGAAGACTAAAGAAGCCAGCGGTAGCCTCAGGGATTAGATCTGCGTCATGAATGGATTTCTTTGGGGGAGGAGGACTACCATTCCTCCCGAACAGAAAGAACCTAGGACACAAGGAGAGATCGTTAATAATGTACTAACCATGTCATAACGGAAGGTGGAAGGCGAAATACCGGTAGGCCACAAGCCTACAACCACAACTTCGAGATAAATCTAGTACTCACCGAGATATGAACGACTGCATGGTTCGACCATTGTCTGACTCCGATTCCGATTCAGATACCTGAGTCTTCTCAACGGTGTCGAGCTCAACATCTTGGAACTTGACTCGTTTAGAAGGCGCCATCACTGGAGGGTGCAGATACTGACCCTGAACGTTCCTGGTAACTGGTCTCGTGTTAATTGCTATAAGTACTCTGGTACGGTATGTACAGTTACCCGAAGCATGGTCCGTTATAACGCTGACAAAATTATCGGGCCGTGACTAAAAAAGACGATAGGTGCTTACGAGATTGAGGTTTGATCCAGGCTATAGAAGGCTATAGTCTATCTGAGTCTTAATATTAATTTCAACGTTCAACAGATCTGACTCCTATTTTAAAACTCCGCGCGTGATTTGGGTACAAAATGACCAATGGAAAGATATATCCTGTAACGAGTATTTTATGCACCTCGATTGTTCTCTCACCAATTTGGCTTGCACATGTCCGTCGTGGAAATTTTTTGGTACGTTTCACATGTCTGGCGTATAAAAATAAGTCTGTTTCGTTCTCTCGATCGCCCACCTGCATATACTATCATGCTCAACTTGCAACGTTACCGAGCCTGCAGCACCGCCCAGCAATCGTGTCGCCCCACTGTGTACAAAGATATATGACCATTGTTGTTTTGAATCTTTGCGTCCTGTAATTCTAATCATCATCAGGGTCAAAGATCCTTGCACAGCTTTCACGTCAAGAATGGCACGCGTATCCATCAGATGATGTTGAAATCCATGCAGTTGCTGCGTGACGCGTCCATCACTGCCGCAGTGCCGCTACATTCGCTAATGATCGCTAGGCACCCGCAAAGTTATCGACGAAGCTGGAGAAGGTGGTCCAAGCAAGAAACGGTTTCCGCGGATGATGCTGCGCAGCAGCTGACAGCGTGGGTGAGGATAACGAGGATGATGATGACTCGTTGCGGAAGTACAGAAGACGCGAGATGCATCATGATAGACTCCTCGATCAGCAGACGGCCAGCGAGTACATTCTAAACATCGTCAGAAAAGGCTGTTCACCTCATCTGATTCCTTCCAGACTCTTAACTTTCTGTGATAATGCTCGATTTTCTCTTCCATCACATCGCCACTAATACTTCGATGATCGAAGTTCTCGGCTTCGTGATTCATTCACGCTCCGAGTAGTCTGAATTCCTACTACCTTGATGTATCTGTTTGATATCGGAATTCTGATTTGTGTACAGCTCCGATTGAGGCGTCATTCAATGCGTGGAATTCCATCTGCGATAGATACATCTAGTATGATCAGTTCCATGAGTTCGAGGGTAGGGCAGAAGTATACGTTGGATCCTGATGCGTGCACCACGGCGGCCTTCAGTGCAAGTTACACGCATAATTCAAGTGAAACCTCACGTACCGAGATAGCAGTTCATAATCACATTTTGTGATCCATGGGTGTGATCTCGCACTGCCTGTTAGCCCACAACCCTGTGGCGCAATGACCTACCCATTATGAAACCTCCTCGACCTTCACTGTGGCAGGCAACGTCATTATATTGTAGCCCACATCGTGGTTATATTCAGCTCGGTGTTGCAGAGTCTACATGGACGAAATCGTTGTACTTGCCAGTTAGTAGGTGTCTCAAGTTCGATCAATCACTGTGATCGATGACAGGTGTTCAAGTTGTGTTTCACCAGCGGTGAAATTTTTTTTGGGCGTTCAGCGCATCTAAAACGTACGACTTTGTTAGATAGGGCGCATGGTCTATCACATGCACGATTATCGTGATGTCGACAACTCGAATGAGCTAAATAATCATGCGGAGTCGGGGACTGGCGCGACCGAGTGCCGTACACATAGCCAATCGCGTCTAGTTTACAAAACTGCGGTCGGTGCACAAAATCCTTTGGGAAAAGTTGAGTAAACGTTTAGTGCTGCTCTGAAATTTGGCTGGAGTCGATAGAAGTGCAATCGACTATAATGCAAAGAATTAAGTAGGGGGCACGAAGTCGGTATATACGACTCATCACGATCAACGTCAATCCTCCACAAAAGCTTGCCAACGTTGACATCAACCACTCAACAGGGTCGCTGAGAACTACCGTGTGTAGGCGTCCCGGAGGCTCCGCAGAGATATCTAGGAGGACGTGCATCTATCATCTGCACTGCATGAGAATAGACTATGTGTACTGACCTCGTACGCCGATGAAAGCGAAGCCGTATCTTTCTCCGATACTCTCATTCGTTGAACCCTTTCCAGGTGACCGGCGCTTCTTAACATAGATTTGAAATAATGTGCCTGAAAGTTCAATGAGCGAGAATGGCACAGGCCGATCATTAAGTGACATACCTCCTGTTCTTCAACCAACGTCCAAGCGTCTCCAGTCCTCCCTGCTCGAGCAGTTCGACCAACCCGGTGTACATATTTTCTTATATCCACCGGTGCGTCATAACTCACTACGTGCGATACATGGCTGATGTCGATACCTCTTGATATGAGATCTGAGCATATGAGCCTAAAGTCTGGTCAGCACAGAAGGCCGCGGAAACAAAACGTATTGAACTTCCAGATGAACCTCTTGAGCCTTGAATTTCTCCAATATGGTCTTACGCTCGTTAGTTGGAAGGTCACTCGAATACGACCGAACGATAATCGGATTTTCGCTGGAGGAGGTAGCAGTCCTCGAAGAATTCGAACAAACGGACAAGACGAGAGGCCGATTCGGACGACTTTGTGAAAACAAGTGCATTGCGGACGGAATGGTTGTGCGCAAGATGGAAGAGCATTAATGGTTTCTGAGGGGCCTCACAGATTATCATGTGTTCCTGTGATTCATGAGTAGGCTTCTGGTAGGATTAAATTTGTTGTCGCGTACCTTTAGTGCTTCAGGCATGGTGAACCGTTCAGCAATAATATTGGGAATACCATCAATTTCTGATTCTTCAGATAGACCTTGCACAACAAAGTACTTTGGATTTCGGAGATCCAGAGCCGCAAGCTTTCCCGGGTCACTGGTGAGTGTCGCGGAAAACAGTAGTTTTTGACATGAGACGTCTTTTTTTTCATCTATATCAGTGTGTAGGTCTACTTCCCCGTGAAGGCGAAGAAAAGCAGGGGCAAGAGAATCACAAAGGGGGGCTGGGGTTTTGGTTTCAGTTGTCTCAGGGACCATTCTGGGTGATGGTTGCGTGGCGGCAAGAACTTGAGCCAGCCAGTCTTGGAATGACTGAGCAAGCAATCGATCGGCTTCATCTATTACCTAGCAAAAACGATCATTCAAGAAAAAGTATGATAGACCTAAGAGGCTGACCAGAAACCGGAGGTGTTGTAGAGAAAAGTTGGGTGTTCCGTTGAGATGATCAATAAGGCGCCCTGGGGTACAGATCAAAATGTCAACTTTACTTGATCCACCAGAAAGTCTTCCGCAAACATCAGTACGGGTACAACACACGGGTTGGCGTTCAGAGGGGAACATACTTGGCTGACATGTCCGCAACTAGTTGGGACTGCTCATGAGCGAACGAGTGCTGTCCGGTGGCTGTACCAATCTAAGTCCAGATTCGAAATGTAAATTGGCTAAGGATCAGACAAAAAGAAGCAAACCTTCAAACCTCGTCCTTTTGCGATCGCCTCTACTATTTCTCGAACTTGCATAACTAAATCACGCGTCGGAAGAACGACGAGAGCACGGAGATGGGTTACAATTTTTGTCGACAGAATCTGACTTCATCGAATCAATCAAGACTTCCGAAAATTGCGCGAGTCGTTACCCTCAACGATTGGGAGCACATATGCGAGCGTTTTCCCACTTCCAGTTGGCGCGGAAACACACACATCCTGTAACAGGTCAAACGGTGTGTACAGTGGCCTCCGCGTGGTGGAAGAACCTAGCAGAAAAGGGAGAAGTGCAGTCTGAACTATAAAGTTGTCAGGATATGTATGCAAGTGCATTATAAGATCTTACCAGCAAATAGTTCAGTAATCCCTAGTTCTATGAGGCGCCTTCTTGTCCTTTCTGATAGACCAGTGCGAGCATCGTCTCCTTTGGGTATTATGGGTAGTCGAGAGGAGGGATTGACAACTTCAGCTTCAACTAAAGCTTGATCAAGACCTTGTAATGCGAGTATAGATTTAGGCGGCGCGTCAGGTAAAGTCGGAAGGGAGAATACTGGAAGAGACATGTGTGATTCGGGGAACTTGGAGGAAGTTCGCGGCGCGGCGGCGGGGAGAGGACCGCGAGAATCTACTTCATTAGCCACTTCCACCCCTTCAATTTCTGACATGTGATCTCCCCCTTCCTCAGTGTATGACAATGATGACTTCCGCCGCTTCTTTTTTGGTCTCTCGTCTTTGCCACCCTCCTGTGTCTCCTTCAGCTCCTTCGAGCGGCTACCATTTGAAGGTCGTTCTCGAGGTGCATGGTCTTCGCTTTCAGTATCATTGCTGTCTTCCTCATCAGTCTCTCCGCGACGCTGTGCCGCACTGTTAGTCTGTTTTGGAGCCGCAGATTTTCTAATTTGGCGTCGCGACTTTTTCTGCTTTAGATACCGTGTTTTCGCCTTGGTTTTCACCTGCCAGAGTGGATCAGTGGTGTAGGAAAGAGCCGCAAATCACGCATCACACCTACTTTGGACTCCACCACTAATTTTGACGAAATGCCTTCTACCATTCTATGTCCGCCGTTGGGTAGGAAGCTCGATGTCGAGTGCAAGATTCATAGTAATCATAATGTAAAATTGTCTCACGTGATCAAAATCAATAAGATTATCAATTGCCAACTTGCCAACTTTTGTATATCGAACTTAAAGTTCGCCAATACAAAAAGACTAAGTATGAGAGGTAACTAACTAGTGTTGGGCATACTTATGCTATCCAAGTTATGGACGTTATCTTCCGTATCCACCACCTGTGTCAAATTTACGCAATGACACTGACTTCCAAGGGCATCTGGACACCTTCATGCATCTTGCCCTCAACCATAGGGGCCATGAGTCCAGCATTCAACCGAATGATCTCGACACCTTCGGGGAATCGGTATTCGAAATTCTCGACAAGCTCCACGAGCACGGCTTGCATCTCAAGAACTCTGTAGTTCACGAGTGAGTCTGATGGTCAGTATCTCTGATCACGAACTTACGCAAAACGCCAGCTAGTCAGAAAAATGAGAATCAATAATACTACTTGCTGACTGTTTCGCTTACCCGATGCAGGCACGGAGACCAGCCGCTTTGGTTTGAAACACGTGAGATTGGTTTTCAGGGGAGCAAGAACTTTTAATAGCTTACAGAAAGTCATTCTGAGAGTGTCGGACTGACTTAGCTCATGAGAGTGTACTAATGAATGAAGGTACACACAGATTGGCGAAAACTCCCAACGATGACTTTTCCCTAGTACCGTCGTCGAGGAAACGGCTTGGGTTCCACTTGTCCGCATCTTCTCCCCAAACACTTTGGAGCCTGAGAAATATAATCTAAGTGAGGGAGCGACGATTCAATAGCCAATGGAACCAACCTGTTATAAGTGCAAATAGATGCTGTGATGCCTTGGCCTTTCGAGATGGGTATTTGATTAATGATCCTTCCCGACCTGGTCTTAATCGGGTGAGAAAGCGGTATAACATCATCCGAATCTGCCTCCCGGATCAATGTAGGAACTATAGGATGCAATCTGAGTCCCTCCTGGGAGATGAATGGAGATGAAAATAGAATGTCGGAAACAAGTGGTGGACAAACTTTAATTACTGCATTGGTGAAATCCATATTATTAAAATCACTGGGCAGCAAATCATTATCGCCACGAGCTTCCGCATTCGCTCTTGCTGCTTTAATCTCGTCACGGATGCGCTGCTGGTCTTCTGGGTGCTTTGAGAGCTCATACAAGCAGCCACGTGAGAGATGAGGCAGTAGTATCATGACCCGCGACCAGCATGGTGCTAGAATGTGGCAATCATTGACTGGTATATCATTTGTGATGCTATTGGTCACTCACGCTATCTGGGACAATATTTCTTGTTCACTCAGCTGAGCTCGTGCATCTTCCACAAGGTTGGACTGTACTAAGACACCGAAGCCCGTGAGCAATCATACTCGAATCATACCTCGGCAGGGAACATACCGAGGATGCTGATGATGTCCTTGCCACCCTTTTCAGTACCAGCCGCCTTTTCGTTGATGATGGTCCTTCCTGTTCGAATGGCTGTTTGCAGGTATGTCGCGAAACGGCGGTACTCTCTGTAAGGCAAATACTTCAAGTACCTCAGAACCGCTTGAGGAAGGAATCTCCAGGTTGACTTAAAGATGATATCCCATGAAGATTGGTACAACATTGTATCGATGCTAAATTCCTGTGTTAGTATAGGGCCCGACTCAGAGAATTGCAAGACATACAACAGATTGTTGAACGCCTGCACCAACTCGTTATCTACTCCGTTGTCGTTGAGGACTCCGAAGCGGTAGTCGAAAGCGACTGTAATCCACCAACATAAATTCAATACCTATGAGACAAATTTCGAGTACACACCTTCGCCGATGACATCTAAGGTCATTCTAGACAAGGTCTCACTGACGTTCATTGTACATCCATCAGACTTCTCTCCTAATTGAATCATGTCTTTCCACTTCTGTGAGAGCTAGAATATAAACATAAGCGGCCAGGTTTCTGTGAGACTTCTTGACTATCTTACCCGAGCTGCCGAACGGCGGAAAACAGGCAAAAATGTTCGAAGTTGAGCAGCACCAAAAGCAGGATTCATAATCTTTCTGTGCCTTTGATGATCAACGGCTAAAAGATATGAGCTGCATACCAAGACAGTGAAGGCAAAAAACGCACAGTCTGTGGTCAAAATACTCTCCCCTGTGAAGAGGCGCGTTATTTCGATGGCATCGGTTCTCTTTGAAAACCTATAACCAGATGTATGGAAGACATATTGCAGAGCACGGGGGTCAGCGGTCCAGAGAATTTCTTCCTGAGGAAAATCATGAATGGTGGAATGTCGGAGGACTTAGTGATGTTACCCCTAAACATCCTTTAGCCATCCAAGTGGGACCATATTCGCGAGCCCATCGAAATTCCAGGTCCCCTACTTGTTTAGCGCTTCGATGTACTTTCTCGCTACCTATAGATGTATGAGGGATGTCCACGCTTTGAAAAGAAGACAGAGTGTTACCTAGCCAGAATGAGTGCGAAGGAGGCCCGCAGATGTCTTTCAAAGTGTACCGCCGTGCGTTACGCCAAGCTATGTAAGCAATAAATGTGACCAAGCAGAGAGCTACACCAGATATCATGTTTACAGATTGAGTTGAGAGTTATGAAGGCGAATATCTGTCCCCTTTAGTACACTTGTGCTCCAACGGCTGTGGGAATATAACTTCCCGCGGCTGTACTGTTTGTTAGTATTGGTATGGAGACAGGCCCCGGTGGGAAGCACATAGTAGCACTCAAGGGTAGTGGCTGATAGTGGAGGATCAATGTTGAAACTTTTTGATCGGGATCTCCTCCTGGATAGAGATTCCCGCGGGACACGGCAAATGCAGCCTCGCATATTAAGCTATGTACGTTAAATCTTGTTAATACGTGCTCGACAGGAAGAACACAGGTTGTCACGTGTCCCTGCAAGTCCCCACATGATGTCTAACTCCTGAGAATAAACGGAGTCACTGACATGGTGATTACATCCCGGCAGGTAACGACTTACCTATCCCACATCATGGGCATGATGACCCATCTAACTTCTGAGACCTGAGAACAAACTGACTGCGACTCGTGGGTAATAATGCGATAGTACGGCCTGCTGAGGCCCACGACAGAGAATCCGAAGGACACCATCAAATCAATCAACGGCTTTTATAATGCGGGAACAAGTAGGACAATTTTTAGCTGTTCGGGTAGAACACAGCTGTTTCAAAACCTAAACCGTAAATTATTAACGTCCCAAATCGTGCGGTCCGTGACGGGGCATCTTGGTCAGTATAGTATAGGTCCACTTGAAAGAGTTTGGCCTTTAGGCCAGACAGTCAGAGCTAGGCAGGTGCTCAGCCAACATTGTATCAGAAAACATTGGTCCGATGCAGGCTGCGAAGCATATGACCTGATCTACATATGGGGGAGGACTTGAGCTTGAATGCATATTAATTGATGGCCCGAGCTGAAACACGCCCATCAATGAATGCAGTTGTAGACTTAAGTCTGTCGCATGTATAGTATACATACCACCCGGATGCTGCCTAACTCTTGTGATCGGGCATGGTTGAGCATCTGCTAGTCATAAATTGTCAGCGAACAATTCTTTAAACAAATGCATTTATCTTGAACAAAAATGATGTAGCTGGCTTCATTATGAAACACACTCAGCTTTAACACAACCATGTAAATATGAATACGACAAACCGATAAGCTACTTGCTGACAAGAAATGACCCACCAATTTGTCTGTGATACAGTGGCGAACCCTTTCACGATCCAGTACTATATAGTACTTGTTGTCCATACGCTCTTCAGAGTCCGAATCAGTCTGAAGCAAATAGTCTTTTAAGATAATCAGACGCAGCCTGGCGCACAGAGCCGTCTACCACCGGATTCGCCAATACATCTGTTGCGAGTTGGGCTCTGTGCTTGACATTAGCTGTCTCCTTTGTGTGCTCCCATTCGGCAGCTTCTCTTTCCAGTCGAGCACGCTCGGCATCTTTGCGAGCATTACTGTCTCTTTCTTCCCTTTCCTCCCGTCTCCTAAGATATTCTAGCTTGAGTTTGCTGTGCTGAACCTGCGCTTGCAAAAGCTGCAAGCATGCAGCCATCATGTTTTGTGGTAAAGCAAAGTTGACAACGGACGCATCACTGCTTGGCGACGGTACGGTGGGGAAGACGGCTCGACTCAGTGGGGTATTTGATGGTCCTGCTTCCTGTATCGGAAGCTCGTTGGTATTAATCTTGTTTGCAATGGATGGTTGTGATGTGAAAACAAAGGCAGGAGGACGCGCTTGTGAATGAACTTGTTGAACTTGAGGACGAGGATGAGATGGTGCGCTCTGAGGTTGAATCTGAGGTTGAAGAATTGGAATTGGTTCTGTTACTTCTAATGAATCGTCATCGTCATCTTCGCCGCCATGGGAATTGGTTGCCCCTGGGACGTTGTTTTGGCGGTTTGCGGGCCGTGTGGTGGCAGGATCGCCGTTCCATCTAGTCACGACATCTTAGATCGACCAGTAGTCAAGAGGAAGGCAATTCACCTTCTGTGGAACAAAGTATACCAGCCTGACCTATGCCAATGGTCAATCGTCTTGGCACCCACATTGCCGACGTCGCAACCGCCTTTGCGAGCAATCTGTAATCGCCGTTCGTATTCCCGCAACCTGTCTGTTTCAGTCGTAAAGCTGACGGGACTATTCCCCAATTGCACGTGGAAACTTTCGAATGCATAGATCTGTTTGAATAAATTGAAATTTCGTTCATAGCAGCCTTTCAGCGCCTGATAAGTCTTCTTGCCACCGAACACCTCAATGGCGCACTATCTCCCAATAAGTAAGATGTTAGTGCACCATCTCAAGTGACTACACACCTCGCGAAGACACGAGTTCTTTGTAGCCCGAAGCGCATTCCAATGATTATCTTCCCCCGAACCCATGAGCCAATTGAACAATTTCGTCTTCTCGTCGTCAGTCCAGTGTTTAGAACCGTGCGCAGCATCGGTGTCAAAGGGGTCACCCATGTCGTCCCCTTCTCTCCGTCTTTTGCCCGACTGCGAACTACCACTGGGAGCCAGACCATCGGTCTGCTTGCGCTTGGGCACACTGGTAGTTTGAGTTTCGTTGGTTGGGAGTACCGAGAACTCGTGAATGGGTGAAGTATGAGAAGAACCAGGTATCGGCTGGGCAGATCGTGGAGCACCATTTGAATCCAGAATTGTCGGCGGTGAATCGGAAAGCCTGTATGCTCCGCCATCATGGAATTGGGGACGCCCACTGATAGTAGGGTTAAGATGCGATCCTAGCGCTTGATTCAAACTCTGCATGTCATTCATTGGAGCCGATATGATATTAGTGGCTTAAGGCGTCTTCAAAGCAACATACAACGTACCGAGACATTGCTGACATTAGTCTGCAGGTTTGGGTCTCGTTGAAGATGCCCGAAGGCCATGCTTGGGTCACTGCCGCGGGTGTAAGCATTAGAGTTGACATCTTGCACATCGGCGACCGCAAACAAGTGGAAAGGGTGTGGACGTTACGAGATTAGCACTCACTTGTTAGTTTCCATAGGCCAAGCTGTGAACCACAATGAACCGGCGTGAACCGCTCGTGCGTGTGTTGTGGCTCGGCTTGAGAAAAGGCGGGCTGTTTGGTTCTAAAGTCGTCGCCAAACAACCGGTCACACAACAAATCACCATGTGCCAGTTCGCCTGGAGTGATCGTGTCAGGTAGTTTCAGTTCACATCGAGGAATATTCTTCCGCTTGATTCCAGCAATATAGCAAGGAAGGTACAAACAATGTATGTAGCGATACGAAGTACTAGAGATCATGATATAGTAGCAGTAGTGACCAGAATTTATGTAACTTTTCATCCAACCTCGTCGTCCGGCTCACCCTCAGCATCCAGATCAGAATATTGATCGAGATCGGTTAGTGCTGGAGCGGAACAGCTGGGCACGGAGTCTTGACCAGCACTTTCCCTCCCGGTAGTTTGAGAAGTGGGTGAGTGCACGGCTCTGATGATCTCAGAGCCTCCAGAGTCCTTAGTTCCTATCCCATGTGCAGTCTCTACAACGAACAAGGTATCGTCGCTTGGTACGCTGTGTCGACTGGTTATGCCGGTGAGAGGCGTATCCGCTTCCTCCGACTTAATCTCGTCATCCGGTGGTTGCGACTGAGCAAGTGAGGATTGTGTATCTAGTTCTGACATAGATGAGGTCGTCTCCACTCGAAGAGATTGAGCACCATTATTGACAGAACCAGATGATCCTGATGAATGATGAGGGACATCCTCCTGACCGACCTCACTGACGGGGTTAATGTGACCGTTAGAGTGAGTGGGACCACCAGGCGGCTCAGCATGGTCTTCCACATGTTCTGAGGGGGTTTCTGATTCAGGCGACTCTATCCTCCTGCGTTTCACTCGAGTCAGGGGTCTTGAGGGTGACGGTGAAGCAGTCATCCTCCCAGACTCAGACACTGCTGACAACGCATCATCCGGTGGCTTGATCCGTGCCCGTCCTCGTCGCCGTTTGGCAGGGATATCAGGACTCGATTGTTCTGCCAGCTCATCGGTTTGAGGGGCAGTACCGTTAACCGCACCATCGATGCCAGTAATAGGGCGAGCCGATACAGAACGTGTATGTCGTTGGAGGGCAGTGCGCGTGATCGTGTTACGACTCGACTGCGTTCGTGAGAAGACAGATCGAGGCACTTCGCCTCCTTTAACACGACTCCGCAACTGCTTCTTTGGTACAGGAGTTTCGGGGTTTTTGGCTATGAGGTCATCAAACAGGCGGGCTGCAGGAGTGTCTGAGACATAATGAGTCTCTGTAGGGGCTGCCTCAGATACGCTGACGGAGGGTTCGGCAGGGCCAGGGGCTGGCGTCTGTTTGTCCACCTGTTCAGTGACTGAAATTGGTGTTTCCGCAACGCCGTTCAAAGCACCCATGCCGGCACCCAGCTCCACTTGCAGAACTTCCCCGCCAGCTTTTGCCCGTGCCAGGACAAACGGCGTCCATTTCAACCGTTCTGGTTTCAGCTTCATGTACCCCTTCTTCTCCCATGCTTCAAGGTAGTGTTGCACCTTCTCAGGATCCCAGATAATCTGGTACCGCGTAGGGGGGACAAAGGGTGTGTTGGCCTTGCTTCCGGCCTCTTCTTCCTTGTTCAGCGTGCTCTGTCGCTGAAGATGACGCCGTGCAATGCCGTTCTTGCGCCCTCGCGGGAACTTGATAGCTTGCCCTGGTGTAGGTCTCATAGGCGGTGTAGCAGATTGCACAGAGATCATTCCCTGGTCGTGGAGGGTATTATAAATATCTTCGATGGTCATAGATGTGCCCTTGCTGATAGCTGTTGATAATGAACGTCAACACGCTCGATATTCTAGGAAGCTTAGAAACACACCTTCAAGGGTTGGGTTATCCGGTGATGTATGAAGGTATCGCATGAGTGCGAGGGTCCAATAATTCTTGTACCCCAGTTGACCAAGCCCTGAGAGTGGCTTCTCGGGTGATCCCGCGCGCTGTTCCTTCTTGGAGAGAAGGTAACCTGAAGTCAAATGTCAACCTTGTATCGCTGCGACCTTAATTTACGAGTGCTTACTGAAGTCAATCAAGAAATTTCCCCATCCTTGTCTCTGCCTCACAGGTAGCGCCATGATACAACTGACGTTGTAGTCCTTCGGAGAACATTTCTCTTTACTGAAATACCCCACAAAACGCGCACCCATGTCGTCAGTTTCTGTAATAACGTAGAACAAGAATGGCTCGACGTCGTAGAAGAGTGACTTGTGATCTAGGAACATCTTCGACAGCAAGCAAAGATTCTGGCAGTATATCTTGTTCTTGCGTCCGTCCACTTCAAAAATAGACATGGCACCATCGCGATAAATCTCGTCGCCTGGTGGATGTCGTGTTTTGCATTTCATCTGCGAAGCAGTTAGCACTCATATACCCTCGTGTCATGGGCCTAGCTCACGTTATGTCTACCAAAAGCAAAGCCACTTCTCATATATTTAAGACAAAATTCGCAGAACCACAGTCGTCCATCCGGGATATTTGAGAACTCTTCAGGAAAGGGGGCGTCATACCATGGGTGGATGTCATACTTCCCAAAGCGAATGGTCCGGATGCGTAACGTGGAGGGAGGCGCCGGGAAACCTGACGGGGTAGCAGGGATAGTGGAAGGTGTGTGCGGAATTGCGCCAGGTGTGGAAGGCACTGGCGAGCGAGCTGGTATTGAGGAAGGTATGGTTATGTGTTGGAGAGCATGAGACCGTAGGGGACGAGACGAAGGGCCGGCTATTGGAGGATCAGGCTGTGTCAGCTGGTGGTGCTGATTGAGATGAAGGTGTAAGTTTTTCCTGTGTAGAAGAGTCAGCCATTGTTCATGAGCACGAGAGGGCAAGAGCAAACCTCAGCAGCCAGACAACTTTTATCAAATCGTGCTCTATCAAAGTCTGTGATCTCTGTCTTCGACATGTCCCGATGGGCAGGGCTGAGGAGGTCCTCGAAGATATTTCTGTCGGGGTCCTCTTCTCGCTCTTTGCCCTTACCCTTTGGAGGTATTCGCAGGCGTACGACGAGTGGGTGTGCTGCGGGTGAGCGCAGGCGGATGCGTTTGAGGGGCCGTGGGGTTGAGTGTTCAATTCTGCGCTTTGGCGGCTTCTTTATTCGCTGGCTGGGTCGCTGGCGGGGTGTTGGTGCTTGCACGGTATTGGTACCGTCAGATTCAGACTCAGAGTCCGAAGAATCTTCAGACGAATCGTCATCACCATCGTCAACTTCAACATCCACTTCAGGCTCGGCAGTTGCCTCGTCTCCATCTTGGGGATCAGAATTTGTTATGGATGCGACTTCGGATTCCAAAGGAAGGAAGGATGGAGGGCACATTGGGCAGTGCCATGTTCCGGGCGGCATTTCTTCCAGGGGAGGCTGCATACAATCCATATGCCACCCTGATTGATTTGGTAACTTAGTCATTGTCCAAGATACAGATGACGTATAAAACACACCTCGATCACAAAAGTCACATAGCAAAATTCTCTCCTGTATCGTTATGGATATAAGTAATTTCTAGCAGTTAAGGAGGCTTACTCACATCATCACCTTTTTCTTGACAAATTTCGCAAGTTTTGCATTCGATGCACTTCCAAGGATATGAACGAATGGTATCTGCGATAGCACCAAGTTGCAAGCAGCTCGGATGACCTAGTTGTAAGTTTTGTCATAATTTCAATTTCAGCCTGGGTAACTACACGTACCACTGCGACCGCATTCCTCACAAGTGACCATAGCCTCGGGTTCAGCCTCCTTGTTCTTCTTGTCATCCCCCTGACAAAAACCGCACTCGGGTTCTCGCCGGGGTTTTCGCTTTCTCTTTGGTGGCTTGGTGGGTGGTGGAATGACTTCTTCTTGAATATGTAGATAAGGTGCAGGTTGGGGCGCAAATGGATCGCCACGGGGACCTTGGTCATATTGCGAAGGCTCCTGAGAATAGTGTCGAGGGTGAGGCGGAATGAAATCCTCTGGAATGTGCACGGGTGGACCCTAATTGCAAGTTTATGAGCCGTCTTGCAAAAGAGTTCTAATTACAACACGCGACGCGTTTGGCGCCTGCGCGGTATGACATACTGAATCATCAAGTGCAACTTACCTGCTCCAAAACATTTAACTGAACGGCTTCATCGCCCATGATAGCTGGGTCGATGGGTAGTGGCCCGGCGAGTGCAGGATCGATAGGAATATCGCTAGCGGGGCTGAACGGTGTTCCATGTTCACTTGGTACTTCATGGTCGAACGTGGCAGCTACTGGAAATGGAAGACTCCGCATAATTGCATCTGCGTCGCCGACAGCAACGATGAGCTGTGTGGTAACAAAGGGGGATTGACTCGCAGTCGACGTCGTCCACAGCGAGCGACGGCCTTCTGTGACACATGCGCGTGACATAAATTGTAGTCACGTTTCTTAGTAAAATAGATAAATTACAGCCCATTTCATAGCCAATTTTGGTCGAGATTATGATAAATAATTAAGAACATAATCCAAGTTTAGTCCCAATATGGCATTTCCTTCACTATGTACGGTCGCTCGCGTCTCGGTTCCTGATTGCAATCATATTGCATAGCCCATGATTAAACAGCTTGGATTCATTGTGTAATGCCACGATCGTATGCTGGTTATTTCGGATCCTTCATATGCAAATCGGCATCCCTTTACAGTGCAATGCCCGTCTGATGCTGATGGAATTAAAATGTAGTACTTACCGTGCAATTCGTTGTCAGTCACTCGATCGTCGAAGGCTCCAACGGAGCACTCGCGGGTTGCAGCAGTCATGCCGTGAGCGTCAGTGGAGTGGCTTTAGTAGGCTAGTGGACTTATGATAAGGTCGGTAGTAGGGAATTCGTCAAGCTGTTGGCCGTAGTCACTGATCGTAAGCGGGACAAACGTGCACCTAATTACAGGAAATTGGATATCAATTTTGCCCATCCATACATGCATATGACAGTGACACGGCTAAGTCAGTGACACCAGATAAATATATCAAGCCCTGCACCGCGCGACAGGACGATAGGACTCCGAAATAGTTCCATGTTGGATTTCGAGCTAGCTCATGGCCTCGCAGAATGCCGGGTACTGTTTTGGAATGAGTGGACCGGCGGCCACAGGAAGCCCTATAGCAGAATTTTATCAGAGGGTTCCGTAGAGGGCCCCGGCTCAGTTTTAAGCGTTTGACAGACCACAGCTGTCCGTGCGCTGTGGTTTGTAAATTGTGGCTATCAGCGAGTGGCTAAACCAACTTTATAACTTGAAAATGAAAATAAATAAACCATAACAATTACCGTTTCATCCTGTGTTACATTCTCTCAAAGTGGTCCACCGTTCAGCTCCTACGCTGGATTTGAATCTCCTTCCCTTAACGTCCCTTCTTCCTTCTCTACCATTACCACCACGGCTACAACATCAGTTTTGACGATGCAGACAGCTCTGCATCGTCAGCTTGCTCCAATGTTACCTCAATATCTTCCACAATCTCTCACTCTCAATAGCTCAAGGGCACTCCCAAATCCCATCGTCATGCCCACTCCTCCAGTTACTTCTCGCAAGAGAAAGCGCGCACATCAGTATACAGTGAGCTACAGTGAAGTCCAAGAGGTCGACGAGGAAGGCAGGGTCCGTGAAGTGATAGTCATTGAAGATACTCCCCCTCCTTCTACAATATCGCCCGCAACAACCCATACAAACGTCTTTTCGGCCTCATATCAACCTCCAGTATATTCCGCTCCAATACGGACAAGGGCCCGTGCTGCCGCCGAGGCACAGACCCTTTCAGCTAGCACTTCGTCCGCAGCGATCGTGGCGCCAGCGCCTAAGAAGAGGAAGCGGGAGCCTGCTGATGACTCCCGTGCAATTCTCACAAAGAAGACAGCCGCTGCATTGCATCAGCAGCAACCCGTGGCGTCGACCAAATCATGGGCCAGCGGCAGCGGGGCTGCCACGGCTGATGTACGTAATCATCGTTCGTTCTACAGAATCGCTTCCACTCCATACTCACGTTTCGCTCACAGACTGTTAATGGTAACATTCCTTGTGATGATAAGGAGGGCCATTACATTATTGTCCCAGATGATATTATTTATAACCGATGCAAGTTACCCTCTTACCCCGATCATATCTTTTTAACTGATGAAACTTGTAGATCGTACTGTTCGTCTCTTGGGGCAAGGGACCTTTGGTAAGGTCGTAGAAGCAGTTGATATCCATAACCAGAACCGGGTAGCGATCAAGATTATCCGCGCTATCCCGAAGTATCGCGATGCCAGCAAGATCGAGATTCGCGTTCTCCAGAAATTGAAGGAGCGCGATCCATCAAACGTCCAGTGCGTATCAACAACGAACCATCCACCTGTTTTAAACGTATCTTTCAGCAAATGTATTCATCTGTTGCACTGGTTCGACCATCGAAACCATATTTGCCTTGTGTCAGAATTACTCGGCATGTGTGTGTACGATTTTTTGAAGGAAAACGAATTTGCGCCGTTCCCTCGAAACCATATACAGTCATTTGCCAGGCAATTGCTTGGCAGTGTGGCTTGTGAGTGCTTCGTCTCCTTTGTTTCGTCTTAGAGTTGTGCTCATGTTGCGTCAGTCTTGCATGACCTTCATTTGATTCATACGGATCTTAAACCGGAAAATATCTTACTTGTACGCAACGACTACCGACTAGCTGTGGTGCCTGTACCTGGCAAGGTAAGATTTGATGTAACTAGATGTGTCAGAGTTTCATAACTTTACCTGCTTTGTCAGCGTAATGCTCCACCACGGACGAAAAGGATGCTCTCTTCAACGGATATTCGTCTTATAGATTTTGGATCGGCAATCTTTGAGGAAGAGTACCACTCAACTGTCGTTTCCACGCGGCACTATCGTGCGCCTGAGATTATTCTTGGTGAGTGAGATCCTCTTCAAGTTTTCTCCGTCACATATTTACATTTCAATTCGTTCCAGGTTTAGGGTGGTCATACCCGTGTGACGCCTACTCATTAGGGTGCATTTTGGTTGAATTCTACACTGGCGTCGCTTTGTATCAGACGCATGACAACCTGGAGCATCTTGCAATGATGGAGATGGTCATGGGTAAAATGCCGGATCGGTTCGCCCGTCTCGGAGCGCGGGCTAAGCCCGAGTTCTTCAAGGATGGTGCACGCTTGGACTGGCCGAAGCCGAAGGCTTCGCGGCAGAGCAAGAAGGACGTGCGAGCTACCCGACCTCTTCAGGTAGGACGACCAGTTGTGGACTGGCTGGACTTCCCCTAACGACTGCTCACAGGACGTGATACCTCCGACCGACCAGATCAACAAACAATTTGTGGATCTTGTGCGGCGATTACTTGCCTTTGACCCAGCACAGCGAATCACCGTTCGAGACGCATTGCACCATCCGTACTTTTCTTTTAACATTCCCGAAGAGTTGTAGCCCTTTATCTATATCCACGCTGTAGAACTTCCTTGACTTGATCACGCACTCCGACCACCATCCTGCCTGCCGGCATACACACTTCGCCGCTGTCATCTCACCCTCACAACCCTCACTCACATTGGAATTGTTGTTATGATAATTCATCTTGGTCATGTACAAGCCTCACACTCATTCCTGCCTGTTTAATTCCCTGGTTTCTCTCTTTTCGTTTTTACCATCAGGTTCCAATCAAGTGTGTCTGACAAGTGCAATAATTGTTCTCTACCGCTTCAGTCAAGCAGTATCTTATGTCCTACTCATTTGCACGCGGCATCTTGCTACACATGTAACATGCTACTTCCACCACCTCGCTCGGTCGGAGTTCGTGAAGAAAATTCTGTGGTGCAGGATATTTGACGGGGAATGCGACGGTGCAAGCATTCCTTGCGCCGACCAATTGATTAATGATTGTCTGTCCATTGGGTTGCCTACTGGTCCCTGATTTGGTAATTGCTGCAGCGGCGATCATGCCGATGCAGTTATTTCAGCGTGGGCCCTGTGCGTGAGTACTTGCAGGTTGGTGACCTTTACTGTGGGCTCTCTTCACCGTTCCTGACGCAGTCATTAGTCGCACTGTCCTGTCGCTTACTCGAGTCAACCCTGATTGGTGCCAAGTCGTCATATAGATGGCCACGCTACCTCCTGCCCATGTGATGGTGGGACCATGGCTGTAGTCGGCCACCTGACGGATCGGATCCGCGCGATGAGCTGTGGAGCTCTGCCCCTGTGATGTTGATAGTTATTAAGTGAGGCTTGGGGGTGTTGACTACCTGATATTTTGCTAATGTATCTTCGTTCTACTAGGCCTTAGAACGGAGCCCCTGTGACAAGGTAATGATAGAAACAAAGACCGTGTTTACGACGTCGCTTTGTTCGCTGTTGAGTGCGAGGTGATAAACTGCCGACTCTTCGACGCCTGCAACGACAATGATAGCAATTGAGTGACTCGTTGTCAGCGTCTACTGTAGTCTACAAGTGGACAATGATATCAAACACACGGATGCATTTCGTCAATTTGATATGACACTGCAGACTACTACATACAACCAACGCGGGCGGTGTTACTGTGGTGTTTCTCGATCCTGACGCTACTCACTTGATATAAGCGATGACTAGGACGGATTTCATCAAGGGCAGGCTGTTCCCTCGTCTTCTAATACAAGTACAGGTTTTTCGCGAGCAGATGTAATGTTCCGTAAGTGGGAAATGCCCTGCGTGTCCATTTGCCGGCCTCCGGTAACAACATGCACAGTGCAAGGGCTCGTTATCACACGTCACCTTTACCTGCCAGTGGCTTTGAGAAGGCTGAATGTTTTTGTCTCTGAGAGCATGTAATACTTTTGCGCATTTTGGTCGGCCCTACAACCACACGTCAGCATATAGCCACAGTCGCACCACTCTGGTAGTAGTACCTACTGAATCAAGTTTGCACGGGGGACTGGAGCATGTACATGCCAAACTTATGTGTGGGGTGTGTGCATTCACAAGCAGGCCTGCCGTGCCCAATGCGCCAATGTCCAGGGACCGAGCGGTCCGTAATGTCGAAAGGCCCGCCATCCTTCAAGGTGAGGTCTTTTCATCAGTGTACACGGTTCCTTGGCCAATCGCAACGGCTCCGCCGAACATGCGATCGGACCGTATGTACCTGAATCCGCCTGAGTACCGCTCTGCTCACAGCGGACTGGGAACATCATCTCTCGTGATCCATCATTCCGCTGCGAACTCTCATTCGCACTAGTTCCTGATGGGCAGCCGCAACTAGACTTACTAGATATAATATTGCACCTCCCACAAGCACAACCAGAAGTAGAGCTGATCGCAGTGGGAACACGGTATGGTGTGTACTGCGTCAATGAGCTACAGGGCAATGCAAGGTCATTGGATGTCATAAGGACGTAACAATTATAGCTTCATGCTACTCCTTCAAACATTTAATGAAGAAACCAGTGTCTAAGTCGGAAAATAAGGGAAACCATTTGTATTCCTACCTAGACACTGGTTTCTTCAGCTTACCCGACCGATTTTCCCCCATCTATGCAAGAGCCATCCTAGAAAAGGCGTAAACTATTTCCTCAAGGATATAAGCGACATGCTTACCAGTACTGTGCATAATAGGAACATTAGAAGGATGATCTGTGCGGCTGTTGTGCTGCACGTTCGTTTCTTCACTGGCGATGCATTATGATTTGCCTAGTGACTGAACAAGATAGTTTCTGCATGCAGTACTCGGACCATGTGAACGTGAGAAACCTGCCCTAGAGTCAAATTTCATAGGAGACGTAATGTTTGCATAGTTCAACGTCTTGAAACTCGTTCGAAACTGACTTGACCGTTCCACCGCGGCATCTACATTTATCCATTTTTTGCTTTCGTTTATCTTGCTTTATCTAATATGCGCCCATCGACTTACATTGCGCGTGGGCTGAGCCTTGCCACTTTGTTGATGGCACTGGGAGTTTCTGCTTGTGAGTTCACTCGCTTTTCCACCCAATAATGAAAACATATTCCTTGTGCAGCTCTGGATGATCCTGAGATAGTCATTGAAACCACTTTCCCCGAGAGCAATCCATTTGGCCGTACGTGATGTACTTCTCCCTCCAGTTCGCAATGTTTGACACGTAGTATAACAGACGTGGTGAACGGAGAGCGTAACCAGCTTTTCCTCGTGGTTGAGAATAGGTCTGACAAGAATATAACTTTGCAATCTGTTGCGGGATCCTTCCATCATCCTGAGACTGGAACTCTCATCAAAAATGTTTGTTGGCGTCGTGTTGCGCTTATTTCTGAGTTACCTAACCGTTTGTGTTGTCAGACGTCTTCACTGACGTATGGTTTCCCCCTGCTCGAGGGTACAAAACTACAAATTCCTTACTCTTTCTACTCTGAGTGGGTTCTCTTAAATTCTTTTGCAAATATATTGTACTGACGAGTTTCGTTCCAGATTCAAGGTATGACCATCCAGTTATTCTTCATTGCGCTTTTACTTAAAATAAACCAGCCGGGAGACCTGAGACTCAACATTTGGCTAGAGCACACCGTTGATGTAAGTGTTTGAAACTCGCCACTTTCATACTTACAAACGTATCTTTCAGGACGACAAATACCGTGTGACAGCCTACGACTCGGTGGTGACGATTGTTGAGCCTGAGCCATCATGGCTAGATTTCAAACTGTACGAGTAATTGTCTCGAATCTCTTCATTTTGGTCCTCACCTTGCGTTCGTCAACAGCCTTTTCACTTACCTCATAGTGTTTGCCACACTTGGGGGTGTCTCATATGCAGCATACAGCGCATATGTTCCTTCACAGAAGCCGAAACGCAAACGCCCAACCCAGGTTAGCGCACCTGTCGGCACAGTGACTGCAAGTGGTTCGGGTGGTTACCAGGAAGAGTGGATCCCTGAACACCACCTCAAGAAGACAAAGGGAAAGAAGACAAAGTCCGACAACGTTGTAGTGAGCGAGGAATCGAGCAGTGAGGCGAATGGCACAGAGGGAAAGAGGACGAGGAAGGGGAAGAAGCATTGATAGGCCGAGTAAAACAATTGTCTACTACTAGACAATCTTGACATCCTATTGGGTGACTTATACAGCAGTGGTATCAATCCTCGTGCAGCGTATGGAAGTGTCCCGGATGTTGTTGATATCAGTGGAAGTATCGCCTACTGGGCCTTGCGAATACTAGTACCTTCCACGACATCATTCGTCAATCGCTCATCTGTACGTTTTGGATCTCTTTTCGAAGCTGAGTCTTGACATTGCTAGAAGGAGTGGATTAGAGTAGCGAGGAATGCGAGAGACTTTGTGGAAATATAACTATTCCTTCCCTTCACAATTTGACCATTCTCAGTCTTCCGTGTTTCTGGAGCGGTCGCGAAGTTCTGGGCATTACCGGGCACAGAATGATTACCAGTGCAACACCCCGGACACCCACTTAAACATCGATTGATGCTGTGTAATTTGAGTGGTCATTCTAAGAAGCACTAGGACAATCTAGACATCAATCTTTTTGTAGCCCTTGACCTATCACGAACGTCCGTTCAGTGGTATTGTGAGAATGTGCGCATATCACGTACCTTGTTCTCTTTGAGCATCGAATTATATTTATCTGAGAGCCATCTGCAGTTCTCTAGGTGGTTAACACCCTCAAGCCGGTGACACTTCACGAGCTCGTCGCGTACAAGTCGAGCTTCCATGGCTTTTACCCAAGACTCACGAACGAACTCTTCACGTTCTTGGAGTTTTGCTGACAGGTTGGAGACGTAGGTTAATAGAGATTTTGGTTAAAGAGTGCTTTGGATTCATACATTTTATAAGCTCGGCTCTGTCTGCGAACTCGGACATGGTCGCGGTAGCTAAGGATTGTTTGGTTATTGTTTGTACTTCACGGTCAGTCACGAGGTTCTGCCAAGCGTATGTCATGCGTCCTTTGAATAAGGACACTACGGACCGAATTGAACATTATTGAAGATCTTCTTGTCTTTCATTGACATCTAGGCAGTCCATTCGAAACTGAGACATGGACTGATAAAGCTCGTACTTATAGCGCCGCTATGAGCCGCACGCCGGCACTACCGTTCTTCATCAATTACTCCTCAACGTTCTGTTCCTTGTGCACCCCTTGCCTTGTCATGATCTTTTTTGCTGAACGTTGATCAAATATACTCCTACCAACTTGGTATGCCTCGTCTCACGCGTGGTTCACATTTCATATATATTGCATTCCGATCAACCGCGCCACAGCTCTTTTGTCTCCCTTAGAAATATTAAATTATGGAGGTTTCACCGCGAATGCGCGGCCTTATTTAAAGCCAGGCGTCAACGCGCGCTCGAGAATACATCGTCCCAATGAACGCCCCTCATTATCCAGAGCCGACATGGATGCGCATATCTGGTCGCAAAACTCCATTCTATACTAGGTATTTGCCGTTTGAAATACCCTATCCCCTTATCCTGACCTTTTTGTGCAAAGGCCATTGCTAGGATCTGAGTTGTTTGATGACCGAACCAGTGTTCTATTTGACGGGTAGCCCAATTGAGATCGTTTGTTGTCAGCATATACTCACTCTTTCTTCAGTATGACCGATGCATGTGTCGGCTTTATATTTCAGAGCTTATATGCTGCGGACGAAGTGAAACAACGCGCCCGCAATGCCTTCGCTAGGCTTCGGTAATAGCTCTTACATTATCCCGTGTATGACGTATCCTCACAGAGAACACAGGTTTTCGTGTCCTATCATCGCAACCAATATAGTGGGCGATGTTTCAGGTCCTATCCCGAGATCATGGGTATATGCGCCTGTGCAAAGCCTATCGGAGCTCACGTGCTGGATGAATGATGCCTTTTGCGCCGTGCAACAAGATCTGAACGTTACCGCTTTCGTCGAAGATATCAGTCAACGTCGGCTCCCTTATCGGCCCAAGAACGCAAGTCCCCTCTGGTTTCGTTGCTATCTTCTCTTGGGCGACAATAACAAACACGGCCTCTATTTTCATGGCCCACATGCCGTCATGGACGGTGGCCCGACACTCAATGCCTTTGCGCTCATGCTTCAATGGATGACGAACGACGCTACCGAACCTGCAGAGAATTTACCCTGGGGGACAGAATGGCATAATCTACCCCTCGGCCCTGTTAGTGCCACGGGCGGTCCTCGTGAAGATTGGGATATCGCAGGTATCGAGCTCCTGAAGCAACTACCAGACTCCGGAGCAGTTCGTACAGTATGTTTTTCTTACATGCTTATCATCCTGGCCCCCTTTCGACCAGTCGATGCAGATACCTTTGGCTTCACATCCGTTTCGGATATCACAAAGTGCCGTCGGAAAGACATGCAGACTGGAGCGAGTCCTCGACCCGACATTAACGCGTAGGCTAGTCAACAAAACACGGATAGTCGGTTGCTCGATGTCCCATTTATTTGAGGCTGCATATTGCATGGTACTGCTCGCTCGCAACCAACTTCCACCATCCATATGGCATGCCTACCACTTTGAAGGCAACTCCTCTGCGTGAGTACCCCCACCGAGAGATGTAAATCTACTGATGAAATTCAGCATCTCGCTGATTCCACACCTCAAACTACCCTACGATACGAAGACGCACTTCATATCTTCCCGCGCGCATATACTGGTCCAAATTTCAATGGCTGAAATATCACCCATACTCGAGCCCAGAAGGCAGCTCCTGCAAATTGCCAAGGCCATAGAGCAAAGATACACTAGGTTTGCTACGCATCCCTGTATGCCCCACGTCCAGGCTGCAAGGGCATATCAACCAGATGCCCTGTCGGAAAGATCAGATATCGAGAGTTCCGTCAATAACGTTGGCTCCATCGAGCGGCGACTACCGTTGTCATGGAAAGGAGCGCACGGCGCTGAGCCGGTAATTGAGCTGGAGTCTGTGTTGTTTTCAGTCAGGCTTACGTCTTTAGCTCCGTAAGAAGTTTTTCACTTCTGTTCATTCGGCGTGTCTGAACACACTGGCAGAATAATCCACATATGGAGCATGAAGGGCAGTCTACATGTTCAGGTTCAAGTGCGCAGACACTTCCTATTCTGTTGTGGGAGAGGCTCATTGATTGTACAGGCAAATGACGCCTGGCCAAAGGCAGACCTACAGGACCTTCTAGACGCTATCTGCTCCCGAGCATGCCTGGTTCTTGAAGACTTTTCCCAGAATCCCCCAGGCCGTCCTTCTGACCCGCCCCTGAGAGAACGAAGCAGACTTTAACGTCGGAAAGTCTTTCCTATTTTGCTTTTATGTGATCTTACTGCATGCGCTTCAAGTATTCTTGCTGCGAATCGCTTCCTGATACCATTTGCAAACTCACCAAACCTTCTTCGGTTGAACTTTTGGAGCGCTCTTCACATGCTCTGTTTGGGTCAGGGAGTCAGCCGAAAAGGGCGTGGAATATACGGTTGAAGCTTTTAAGGGTCGAAGTTCCAACAGCAAACGAGGATACATACAATTGCCAGACAATAGGTTTGTTAATGCATGAAGACGCTGAATACTCTAGCATAAGTACCACTAGTACTGCTTAGTCCTACAGAGGCCCTCCCAAGAGTACTAGTTCTCAGAAGCAAAGTTTCGAACTAAAACTCACACGATCAAGGCGTATGATGTGAGATCCAGTTCGAAACTCTGACAATGCTCCATTCAAGATGACAGCTAGTAGAACTAACGGGGAAACACGCTCAGTAAGTCGCGTAGAATAATACTCTGTTGTCAATATGTACCTAGCAGGGAAACACGCAAAGGCACATTAGCACGAATCTGTACGAGGGAGAGAACGCATACACGTCTTAGTAAGTCGCGTAGAACAACACTGAGTACTGAGGCCTGAGGTGTGATATGAGACGACGCGAACTATATACGAAAGACTAAATGAGATTAGGTAATGAAACCGGGACAAAGACATGCGGAGTGTTCGTGTGGTCAAGAAGCAAGAAAATGCCAAGAGTAAAGCGTTACATGTGGTGTTGGTGATAACGTCGGAAAGGCAATGCAAGATCTAAAAGGTAAAAGTCCGATGTCAACAACAGCAGATCTCGTTAGAGCATGAGTTAAACTGAGCTCTGCCGATGCACTCTGCATATTGCCTATGACCCGTAAGACCTGCGACACTGGAATAGAAGGCTGGATAAATCCAACCAAATCAGTCCCACAGTCGCCACAGCACCACAGATGGGGCAAACAGGTATGGCAGGAGCTCTGGGGCTTACGTCGTGGATAAAGTAACAGCTTGGGTCGTCCAAGGGAAGTGTCACAGTAGTGTCGCAAACCAGGTAAACCAGCCAGAAAAGAGGACAACATGGCCGCCTATAGTGGAGCCTACAAAATCTGTCAGAACAGCACAGGAGGCCTGGACACGAGGTAATATCTAACATGTGGCGTTGATGATCGCTGTGTCCATGATGAGTTCCTGAGATTTCAAGTTGGTCAGGCGTAGAGGAAAAGGGGAGATTGACGTATGCATGAGCCGCATTACCATCTGTCAGGGTTGATGAGCCGGTGAAACATTTTGGACGTCAACTGGTAGCATACAGTGGACCACGAGAACGAACGTCTTTGATAGTAGCGCCCATGACATTCGTGTCTGGCGAACTTGAGGCTCCTACTTGAAGGAGTGCAGCACGCAAATTTAAAGTAGTACGAAACGGTTACTCAAACTTCATCAATAAACACATTCTCCTGACGTATGATGATAACCGCTGCTATACCTCGACTTTGCATCACCCGAAAAAGCAAGGTTCGTGTACCTGAACCAAGTACCAAAAGTGCAGTTTGTGGGCTGGTTAAGAGAACATAAGATTGGGTCCCGGTGTTAAACAGACGATAGCTCCGTTTCCTGCATAAACTGGTAGACCCATGATGGGAGGAATCTGGGCGTCAAAGGCGACCGGATGTGTGGCAGTAGTGCATGCAACTAACATCGATCAGTAACACGCATGTGCCATCAGAAGGCGACACTGACCTGTAGTGAATATTGTACGGTGCAAGTCATTTACAATGACCACATGTTTCTGATGAGTACGTTGATATGCGTGGTTTGCGATTCCACGAATTGCTGGACGGGCAGCATCAAGGCGCCAAAGGTATTATAGTTGCTTTTTGGGCGTTTCAGCCAAATGGTTGCTGGTACAATTAACGAGGCCCAGTCGCGCTGTGTATTACTAGTAAACCTCAGCGCGGACTGAGAGACCCTACAGTGGCGCGCGCCAGGTGCCTCAGTCGCAAGACGTGGAGTAAAGACTTTTACCATCTCTCGCGAAAACGGTCGAAGTCAACTTTGAGCGCTTGAAAGACAGGCCGAATACAAGGTTCAACGAGTGGCTTTTGTACGGCCATGACCGTCCTCGAAAAGTATTCGGACGGTGGATTTGACGATACATAAGTGACACAGTGTGATGAACTGTTCGAGTTGATGCGAAATGGAACCCAAGATCGAACGCCATGCGCAATCAAGCCCCATAAGATTAGGTGTATGGTGACACAGAAATCTAAACAACTGTCATCAAATTTGTATAGAGAAATATTGACAGTAAACTGACACCTGTGACGACCATCAGCTTGGAAGAGGAAGAAGAAATATGCTATACTCGGTAGACAGTGGGAATGGATCCTTTGCTTTGGGAAGATTGATGGGAATATCGCGCAAGGATAGCAGAAACAAGCACTGTGGACAGAGAAAAAATTCCAACTGAAACAGGAGGATCAGTTATAACTGCGTGAATCGTCAGTTTGAGGTGTGGTGATACAGCAGTAAGAGATGAACAAAAAACTTACCATTTGACCGCAGAGGCCGGCAGTGTCAGCAGAGCAACTGACATGTCGGAGGTGTTGAGCTGACAATCACCCAAACCATTAGTGTACTGCGAAAGTAGTGGTGGTATAAATTCATCACTGAGCGCTGGCTTCATACCGCCACCTTCGCAGTAGTCACGACCCTCCGGCAACCCAGAACCCGTTATTTCTTTCTCATCGCATTCCACATTCAAATTAATTCTCATCATGTCTGTACGACTGCTACGTGAATTTTATCTCCTACCGATGCCTTTCATTGTGTCAGGAAGTTCCTGATCCAGCGAAACGGGAGGCGCAAGCGAACACGATGATAAAGCAGAAGACGACGAAGTAACAAGTTGAATGCGATGATATAGAACTGGGTCACCGGTTGTGAAGAGAATGTATTGACGCGATAGAGCTGACAAATAAAAAACAAACCTGTACAATTCGGACCGGTCATGAACGTTTGAACTCGGCCCTGTGTGTGATGAAAAATCGTTAGACCACTAGGACCAGTACCCTTTGCAACGGGTCCTGGAGTTTCGGGCGTTTGGGACATAGGATAGGGTGCAGCGTGGCTAACCTTGGCTAAATTAGACTCATCGGAGACTCGGAGTTACAGACAGCATTATGTAATGCATCACCTGGCGTCCCGTTATGTGAAGTACTCCTTACTTATTACGTGGAACCGGAAATTCGGCGAAGGGTCAAAGACTCGGAAGCCGAGACATTTGGCAAGATCTTGTCAGCTTCAATTGTGTAACATATGGGTTGCCCTTATCGCCTTCAATGAACCTGTCACACCTGTTACAGTCCGTGGCTGAGTTTACGGTACTACATAGTATAACCATCGGCCGATGGTACACTAGTGCTCGGTGACCAAACTGAAATGTGTCAAGCGACTCCAGCCTGGGTCTCGTCCGATCTCGAGGTAAGCACCACCGTAATGACAGAGGCCTGTTTACTCAACTCTAATCTCTAGTAAGCACCTTTGTAATGGTCAGTAAGTTAGTAACCGGCTGCTATATCGACTTATAAGTAGGCGGATAGGAAAGCACTATCATGTGGGTGTCAGTCGCAGATGTCCGCCACAAACCAAATCCCTGCGTCCGTCACTAATGTGGGACAAGAAATACTAGGCACGGTGTCTCCCGCGCCAAAAGCACTGGAAGTTCATCATATTCCAGAACGGAGTCATTCTGAGAAGCTGTATGACACTGGCAACAGCGAGCTGCTTGTGACAACGAACAATACAGATGTTTTAATTGTTGACTGGGACGGCCCCGATGACCCACAAAATCCTAAAAAGTACGTTGTGTCAGCAGAGCAGCATGCTCGTTGGACTTATAGTTGTTGTACAGTTGGAGCTATAGACGCAAATGGGCCGCGACAATCATTATATCATCGTTCACTTTCATCAGTCCAGTTTCGTCCTCTATGATTGCGCCTGCTACTGGCCAAGTGGCTTCTTCCTTCGGGATTGACAATGATGTTATACTTGCACTCACAACGTCCGTCTTCGTGCTTGCGTATGGTAAGCCAATGTGGTGGATGCTAGATACCCCACAAATTAATCAAACTATGTACCAGCCATGGGGCCATTAGTTTTAGGTCCATTGAGTGAGATTTATGGACGGTCACGCGTTTTGCAATTGGCAAATTTATGGTATCTCGGTATGTGATGTTTACAAGCTAACCCATAATTCCACTCTCATTCTTGAAATGATAGTGTGGAATCTTGCCTGTGGATTCGCACAGTCAGAATCCCAGCTTATTGCTTTCCGATTTCTTGCTGGCCTCGGAGGCAGCGCACCTTTGTCGGTAAAGTTGAAGTTTTTTCAAGTCGAAAGTATCTCTTCTGAATGACTTCCCCCTCCAGATTGGCGGTGGCTTTCTTGGGGACTGCTGGCAACCACATGAACGAGGAAAAGCTGTCGCCATTTACTCCTTAGCTCCGCTAGTGGGCCCCGTCCTGGGACCAATCACAGGCGCCTGGTTTGTGGCTATTCTAAGTTCAACGGCACCATCTAAATTTACTCAGGGTGGCTCAATATTCGACCTGGAGATGGGTGGTATGTGATACTTCCGCCAATGGAGGATCCGTTCTCATTTCTCTGATAGTTCTGGTCTACGTCCATTGTGGATGCAGCCGTTCAGATCGTTGGAGCGTTTGCACTTCAAGAGAGTGAGTGATTAACTGTTCGTGATCCGCTGATGCTTATGATTTGTGTCCAGCTTACGCGCCCCTCTTACTGGAAAGGAAGGCAGAGCGGATTCGCAGATCGATGGATGCCGAAAAAAGCGCCGTACAGAGAAATCCGCACCGTTTTCGAAGGTCAAGATCGCTCGTGAGTCCTTTTGTAATCCTTGCAAGATGATATCTGAGGACGATGATTGATATAGCTGGCGGACCATCATGACTAAATCACTCATCCGCCCTTTTGCACTCTTCGCCCATGAGCCGATCGTGCAGCTCCTCGGCGTTTACATGGCGTATCTATACGGGATATTTTATCGTAAGGCATTTTATTTTCCATTAATGTGATCTCATATGGTCTCAGTATTGTTGACAACGATGCCATCGATCTTCGAGGGCATATACCAGCAGCCGGTAGGCATCGCCGGCCTTCATTACGCTGCACTTGGCATAGGATTATCAGCGGCGTCCCAATTAAATGCGAGAACGATGGACAAGGTTTACATTTATCTGACGAATAAATACGGTGGAGTTGCGAAGCCAGAGTTTAGATTGCGTTCGTCATATTGTTCTAGTACCTTCTTTCTTAAGTACTCATTCAGTGTGCCATCAGCTGCTATGGTTCCCGGATCTCTACTGCTTCCAATCGGGTGCTTGATTGTAGGCTGGACTGCTCAAGCTCATACTTATTGGATAGCTCCCGATATTGTCGGTTTGGTTCTCCTAGTACTGTTCATCCACTGATGGTTTTCGACAGGGCATTGCGCTAGTGGGAGCAGGCATCATTCTGAATTTCCAGTGTATCCAGACCTACATCATCGATTGCTTTACGCTTCATGCCGCTTCTGGTGCGTAGATTTAGTTCCCGCGTTACTCATCTCAAACATTTCATATTCAGCTTTGGCCGCTGTCTCCTGTTTGCGGTCACTAGCAGGCTTTGGATTTCCCTTGTTTGCTCCAGCGATGTACAACGCACTCGGGTTCGGGAAAGGCGACACTATTTTAGCAGTCGTGGCAATCGTCTTAGGCTGTCCTGCGTACGTATTCATATTTGTTTCCTCCATTGTCACCCTTAATGATTACTTCAGGCCCGTGGATACTTTGGCATTACGGGGAGCGGATAAGGAACAGCAGTAGACATGCGCGGTAAATCTGGTGATGGCCCTAGCAATCACGATCAACAACAGGGCCATGACTTCGACCCTTGAGTTCAGGCTCTGTTACTTGTAGGGGAGGAGAGGAACGAGGTGCATCGCGGGTGAATATGGTGCATTGATTTGACGGACGCTAGATGGTGTGGGAACTTTGGTGCGGGCAGAAGGAGGGAACGTGCCTAAACTGGGATGGCTTCGGCCTCGTGAATTTGAAGTCTGAAGGAACAGGTCTTTTGGGATAATTCTCAACTTCGAGTCATTAGCGATCTTGAAAGTCACTCATCACAAAAATTGCTCAGCCCAGACACTACCATACATAGGTATATCTGCAGTGTCAACACTGTCAACAATATCAGGGCTTGGAACGTGACATTTCAATGGACGGAGCGTGTACGACGTGTTGAGTCCGGGCAAATATATTATTATCTCAATTAGATTATTCAGACATTGCAAATCACAGAGATATTCAGTGAAAGCCAGATATTGATTGTCATGATGAGAGTACAAAGTATTGTAAAGCACTGCAATGTAAGGAACCTGGCGCACTAGCAGGACATGACTGAACGAGAGAATATGGAAAGCAATGTCCTGAGGTGACAGAGGTAACAACGAGAGCACGACAGCGAGAGTCCCAGAGCGAGAAAAACAGTGCAACCAGGTAAAGTCCGAGTCCAATTTGAAATGGGGTGAATCGAGGAGTGGCCGCCAAGTCCACAGAGCGATGGAGTCCTAACAAAAGCGATGAACTACATCAGGAAATTTTGTATACTTAGCTGGCGGAATTTACGACTGGGCGCGCCATATACGGTAGATCGGTCACGTGATTCACGAACCTCGGGTGGTGCCTCTTTGCCTCGGTGCCTTCCTTACGCCCTTCTCGTTTTGGTAGTTAGTAGTCATTACTGGGGTAACAATATTTGATGGTCCTGATCCTTTTGTCCCTTTGTCTTCCCTTGTTCTTCCCTTCTCTTCTCTTTCAATAAAATTGTGCTCTTGTTCTGTCATGTCCCCACACATTTGTCTGTCAGTTGTCTGCCTTTTCGAAGGGCCCACACTGGGCCCTTGCTTAACTGCACTTTGCTTGATCCAAGCGTGGCTTTCATCGTCTCTCCTTTGTGAAAATAATGTCTGGCTGTTTCGAACTTTAAGGTGTGTTGGTCTGAATGCACTAACAAATATTCATTGACTAATTAAGAGACAGGGCCATGATTATTAGTGTATATGTTATTGAAATCTACCTGATGGTCTGCTACTTGTGGGGGATGATCTCTCCATGGTCCTTCTTAGCACATTTGATGGTGGTGAGCAGGGCTGTGTATCCTTCTTCATACTCTGGATGTGTGGTGAGGAACACTGACTCATTTCCTTGGTACCTTCAAATGGTGAGTGGCTTTGGGTGCTATTTGGGAGGCAGGTCACTCACTGTTCAAGGAACTCCAGCACAATGAGAGCATGCTGGTGGTACTTCGAGCCGAAGATGGCTTTGTTCTTTCCCTTGAGCCATGCAGCTGGCCAGTCTTGGAGGGCCACATGCAGGCCACATCTAGGATCGGCTTCTGTCCAGTGCTGGACAATGTACCTCCAGGAGTCCTTCTTGGGAGCATAGCTCCCATCAGCACACCATACAGGAAGGTTTGAAATGTCCAGGCCCTTCTTGGGGAGTGGACGAGAGCCAAAGTTCATGCTGCTGGTGTTGTTTGGAGCAGGGACTGTCTGCTGTGGGATGAGTGTTGGTGACTTGCAAGGAAGGAAGGTACTGCAGAGTAGGTGCTGCAGTGGTGGCTGGTGGACAAGAGTAGAGCTGGGTGGTCCATTTTTGCTGGAGACAAGTGTGTTCATCAGGAAGTGCATCTCACATCACAAAT